ACAGATAAGCGTCACTGTGGACGGAATTAACTAAATTAGTCTTACATCAGGTAGATGAATTAATTAATTTCTTGATATCGATCTTGATCCATCGGATATAAATAAAAAAAGAGTAGTTTCGCCTGTACGATGAAATATTGGGTATCATAATTAGAGCAAATGTGAATAGATATTAAAAAGGGTTTTTGGGATACAGAAGCGGTGAAAGGTGTATACATTTATATGAATGCAGGTACTAGATTAGCTCTCTGAACATGTTGTAAATTGTTTACGATTAGGCTCACATAAACTATATATAATTCAAAAGATCATAAAAAATAAAAATAAAGAAATAGTTTTGGCATATAAAAAATAATATTTTCAGAATATTTTGGTCATATTTTGAGGTCAAATATCACTTTATTCTAATTTATATCTACACCTATTGGATAAATGGAAAATTATAAGATGCTTTGATTAAAACAATAAGGCTTTTTGTTTTAATCAAAGATGAGGTATATTTATATATATATGTTATGCTCAAAGATCGAAAACGCTCAGTGAACGGAAAAATAGCTCACAACGCGTTGTGGTCACAGTAAAACATCCACATGGCGAAATTCGTGTTATGGCTCTAATGAAAACGCGCACGACGCGTTGTGGCAATCACAGAAAGACCAAATAGCGAAATTCGTGTCGTGGCTGACATGCTATTCGATCTCAACGCGTTGTGGCAATGAAGAAAAGCCATCACGCGTATGGAATATTATTGATTACGACGCACACTACTTTCCGATATGGATCCTACTAGGCATAGGCTGGAAACGTTTTGGTAGATGTCCTTAGGAAATATTTTTTATTTTATAAAATCACTGCATAACGTGTTTGTTATTATGAAATATATTATATAAATTAAAATAAAACGATATTTGTTGTTTATTGAGATTACTTTATATTTAAAAAAATCAACGTATTAATATTAAGTAATAAATTATTGAACACAAAATGTTAATCATTTGTAAATTTCTTACAATTTACTTAAAATAATTAGGGATTTTAATTTTTTTATGACAATTTAAATTCTTTCAAGTAATAGAAACATTTAACACAAACATAAATGTTTATTGTCCACCAATAAACAACAATAATGTACTTAAAATAAGTATTTGATTCATCTGTTTTGCAGAAATATCGAATTTTTGAACTTGAGCTTTCTATTCCAGCTTCAACCAACTTTTCAGTATCACCAATCTTTAAGACATCATATCGTTTAAGACGTCGATACTGCTTCGAAGATAGAGACTCATTGTTCTTTTTAAGAAGCTGAGACTGTTAATATTTTTCTGTAGTCATGATAAAACTGCGATCAGTGCTTGTTTCCACAAACTCACGTAATTTATCGTAAAACACTTCTTTTTTATTCGTCATAATTAGCGCTGACATTAAAATTCACTCTGAGAAACAGAAAAGAAATGAATAAAACTGATGTTATAATGCGTCTTTACACCCGCGCCGACATCGACAAGTTACAACCTGTCCGTCGTGATATGGTTAAAACAATGAATGCTCAGAACGCATCATGGCTTTTCTTCATTGCCACAACGCGTTGAGATCGAATAGCATGTCAGCTACGACACGAATTTCGCTATTTGGTCTTTTTGTGATTGCCACAACGCGTCGTGCGCGTTTTCATTAGAGCCATAACACGAATTTCGCCATGTGGATGTTTTACTGTGACCACAACGCGTTGTGAGCTATTTTTCCGCTCACTGAGCGTTTTCGATCTTTGAGCGTAACTAACATATATATAAATAAATTATAATTTAATGAAATATTCTTTATGAAAAATGCTTAAAACTCCACTTTCTCCTCTGAAATGGGAATCGAACGCATGACCTTTCGCAATCCAGTATAGCAGTCGCCCAGTCATAAAGAATATTTTCAGTATAGGATTATAAATGCAAAATTGATCAAATATAAAAAGAAAAAACTTTTTCACGAAATGAATCTCCGAACAACCGCTTACAATACTTAGTTATATTTTGCCGTGGCTTTTTGTAAAATGAGTTTGTATCTTTACTAGAATTATTATATTTAATAATGTAACATACTACATATGTTTAATAGGGAATACATTATATTTTTTAGTTCCGGCCATGATATGTAATGTATATTAATTTATTCCTAAGTACCTGCATTTACTCTAATAAGATAATGTGTGACATAAAAACGTTTATTCAGCTGTTGGATGACGTTGGTGTTTCTAACATTTCATCACGTCACTGTCATTATTATATGTGTCAGTGAGCAAATTTAATATTGCCACCACACTTAAAACTTGCTCGTCCAGTTTTTCCTTCATTTTCCTACAAAACTTTAGTTCCGCTTATAGCTATGTAATTTTGCTGATATGTAGATACCTAACATCATAATATTTTATTTTTGATAAAAGTTAATATTGAATAAACCATAAATCTACTTATAAACTTGAAATATTTTTGAATAAACTATTTAACTCATAATCAAACTAATTTTAGTTCAATATGCATTGATTGACTTGATGCATCAAAAATTTGAATAGTAACAATACATCAAAAAGCAGACTTACTTAAAGGATGAGGGTTCATAAGTTTTGAGACAAACTTTTTATTGAAAAAATAAAATAAAATGTTACTGGTTATTTTTTTTACCCAATTTTGAATTTGGAATGTTATCTTTCAGTTTATTTGTATGTGCAACTGTTATTTAAGGCAGGAAACTAACCGATGCAGATTTTTCACGAGCCGAAAAGTTTTCTGTAAGCCGTAACTTCGTCTATTACACAATACAGCGATACAAAGAGACAAGTTCTTTGCAAGATCACCAAAGGAGTGAGCGGCCGCGCTCAGTAAGGACGCCTGCGAACATCAAAATCATCCGATAGCGACTTCGCCAAAATCCATGTCGCACTCAGAAGAAACTCGCTCTGCAGACTAATATTTCGCGCGTTTCAGTGAGGCCTAAAGCCGTTGAAAAGTTCACTTTTTAAACGATCGTCTTCATAAGTTACGACGCGACCGTGGTCCATCGCTGCTGAGGAGACATGGTGCCAAGAAGATACTCTTCACTGACAAGAAAAAATTTACTGTCGACGAAAAGTTCAACCAACAAAACAATAAAGTGTACGCTAAAAGTAGCAAAGATGTCCCAGCGTCTGCACGGAATGTCAAGGTGTAAAGGTGAAAGCCAAGAATTATCAGAGTAACATTTTGGTGAATCCCCTGTCTGATACGTTATTCCACAATAAGGATTAGGTTTTGCAGCAAGACTCGGCGTCATCCCATAAGGCAAAAAGCACCCAAGCTTGGTTGAGGGAGAATGTGCCGGCCTTAATCGCGGCGGACGAGTAGCCCTCTTCCAGCCCCAACCTCAACCCGCTGGATTATTCTTTATGGACTGAATTAGAGCTCAGGGCCTGCCGAAAGTCCCATCCAAACTTAGGAGTCACTGGAGCGAACTCTTGTTCGAGAAGCAAAGCGAATTCCGCTAGAAAAGATTCGTGCCGCCATTGATGACTGGCCAAATGGTCTAAGAGCCTGTATTATTATTTTTTTTTTATAAAATATATATCGCACTCCCGGTGCGACACTGTCACTTATGCAAAAATTTAGTTTTTCAGGAGAAGAGTTTTAAACTCTGCCTTCTCACAAAACAATGACTTTAGAAGATACAGATGAGATGAATCATATGGAACATAGTTCCGTATGATTCATCTACAAAAGTAACATTATCGCACCAAGTAAAGGGAGCTTTAGGACAATTATAACATATTTAACTAATTTTTGTATTTTTTGCAAAAGTGACAGTGTCGCACCGGGGGTGCGATATTTTACTGAAAATTTTAGAAATATACGTTAATTATTAAAAAACGTTACACAACTTTTTTTTTCGTCTCAAAACTGATAAACACACGAGGTTTACTTTATTGCACTACACAGGAAAACTTACAAATTATACTTAATATTCGCCCGCGTGATCTAGTTTTAAGTCCAGAAGTGAGAAAAATTCTATAAAAACTTTCATCCCTTAAGTTACCCCCTTAGGGGTTAAATTTCGTAAAATCGTGTCTTAGTCAGATCCTACGTCCTAAAAAGAACCCGCATGCAAAATTTGAAACTTATAGCACTTGTAGTAACAAAGTTTCATACAAACTTCCATTCCCTAATTTAAATCCTTCGGGATGGAATTTTCCAAAATCCCCCTATTAGTGCCCCTCTACACTGCCTAAGGACTCTTCATTCCAAATTTCAACTTTCTACACTTAGTATTTCGGGTGTATGTTGTCTGAATTTTATATACTTATATAGATTTCAGAACCTATGTATTTTAGGTTTACATTAACATTGTTCATCCTATTTTAATACTAGATTGTTGTTTAAAAAAGGAGCAACACTCTCTGATTTAAACCTATGCTAAAACACACTGACAATGAGACACGAAACATACATATAAATGAAAGTATTGCGATACTGCGTTATATAAAAATATTAAGTTAAATCTTCGAAAAGGCAAAAAAATTAGAAAATCGTGATACTATGGGCTTCTAAAAAGACAAGTATTAAAAATATTCATGAAAACTTAAAACATCATGTTCTGAAGTTTTTAAATACAAACACTGCATAAATGCTATCAACCTGTTTAAGTAATCTTCAGCTCCGCAAAAATTCCCTTTTGAACCCTTATCCCTCCTCACGTTCCCCTCTAGATGAGTGTAATTAGTGCAGTAGGATAAAACGAAAAAAATTTTTTATTTATATTCAAAAGTTTTTTTTAATCCTATATATTAAACAATATACGCTATAAAAATAATATTATTATGTTGAATGTTGTTGAAATTATCGGTATGGTATCTTTGTATTTTTATGTTACTATTGAATAATTCGAGAATGGATATAATTCAAGGTTACAGTTTCATATAGTCTTCTGATATATTTTGGGTGATTCACCTAAACATAAAACCTAAAAATAATAACTATGGTATAATAATGTTAATAAATTTATTTTGTATTTTAATTAACATCCTAATAAATTAACACAATATATACATGTCATTATTTATATTCCTTATGTTATGTCATCAATTCATTACTGTGAATCACTGTCACTGCCTGAATAATTAGCTAATAAAGAAAGTCCACTGGCACCAGGTTTAATGTTTTTCTCACTTTCATTACTCTTATTTTTTATAGATGTACAAACAATTTCGGGATTATTTTGAGGTTTACTTACAGATTTCTCATCTGTGGTATTGAGCGTTGATTCTTGTTTTTTCTTGACAAGATTATTCAACAAAGGCTTTTTGGTCAAAACTCCAATACTTCTGTTCCATGATTCTTTTTTCTTTCGTTCTGGAATCTTAGTTGTAATTTCGTTTTTTGTTATTTTAGAAGGTGGCTCGTCATCTTCTTTTACTTCTTCAATAATTTCCTCTGCAACCACTTTGTTTGTTGACGAACTCCCGAATTTAATAGATCTAAAATATCGTATTACGTCATTATATATGTTGATTACTAATTAGAAATTAAAAAGTTGTTATATAAAATATATAACTAATTATCTTCAACCTTGGCGAGCAACAATTATATGAATATTGAAGAGGCTCGTTCACCAGTTTTAAGGTTTCAGCTTTCCCTGAGTTTCCGGGTCGATTCCTGCACGTGTAGCATGACAAACTCGAGAAACGCTTTGTCTACACTCAAATGTCACTTTCTCGGGTCGATAGTGAGATGTTCTATGAGCGCACCCAAGAAAAGTGACATTTGAGTGTAGAGAAAACATTCTCGAGTTCGTCATGCTATGCGTGCAGGTGGGATTAATATTTGTATCTGGCTGGTTTCGCTATCATTAAAAAATATAAGTTTTAAAGAAGATAACTCCGAATTCAAATTAGGAAAATCTTTGATTTTCATTTGTTTTTATTACTGTCAAAATGAGTGAATCTAATAAAGAAATTCGATACATTTTAAAATTTTCGGATAAATTTAATAGATCGGTATATCAGTACTTATAGTACCGGGTATTATACGCGTAGCTGAAGAACTGGGTTGATTGACCACAAAACAGTTTTGGCGCATTTGAAAAAAGGAAAAAATTTGGGTACCTCACGAGCTCACTGAAAAATATTTTATATATTTTATAATTCTTTATTACGGTATAATTAAACCGGACCATTATTTAAGAAGCTGATAACTGATGATGAAAAGTGGATCACGTACGACAAGAACGTGAGAAAAAAGTCATGGCTAAAGGTCAGTCAGGCTTTACAGACTATGGCAAAACCTGAGTTAACTCGCAACAAGGTGATGCTGTGTGTAAGGTGGGATCGGAAGGTCATTATTTATTATGAACTGTTACCGCCAGGCAGAACCATCGATTCTAAACTCAGCTGCGTGCAGCTGATGAGATTAAAGTAAGAAGTTGAGAGAAAGCGGCTAAAATTAATCTATAGAAGGGGTGTGGTTTTCATCACGACAAACTCGACTAGCATGTCCAAATTCAGATCCTCACAGCAAATTTCGTAGGTTGATTTTTGCCTTCAAGAGGTTGTGCGGTTCAGTTAAATAAAATACTCTTTTTTTATGATCTATAAGGATCTGTGTCAATCAGTAATAGCATATTGCATTTCGGTTCAGGGTGGGGCAAATGAAAAAGCCCATATTTTTTTTTGTTAATTGTATACTTTAACAATTAATGAAGTTAAGTTAGTGAGTAACTTATTAACAAATTAACTAAGTAAATATTAAACAAGGTTTGTTTGTCGCAAAAATTCGTGCATAATATTGTTTTTCTTAATCATCTTACGATAATAAATTTTACTGATGATGATCTATGACAGATCTAAGTCTCAATAGATAACCGGTAACCAAAATACACTCAAAAACATAACTTACTTAATAAAATCATTATCCTCTTTTTCTTCCCTCGTCTTCCGTTCCTGTTCTGTTTCAGGTTGGTACTGTTTGAGCATACCCTCATAATCCACTGTGCGTTGACGCCTATTAAGTTCTTTAAGCTCTTCAAGACTTTCTAATAGTTCTATTTCTTGTCTAGATTGTTCTGTTCTGTATTCTGGAAGATGATCATTGAACATTATTAATCTTAAGCAAATATATAATATATCGTCATCACCTGTATGTACTGTAATAATTTTTGAATGTAAGTCTATGTATTATATTAAATAGCATGCCATTTTAATCACATGTAATTTTTTAAGACAATATTTTCTAAACCCATATATGCAGAAATGGGCTTGGTTTTACATTACTAATCTGCAGTACCTAACATGACATAAAACTATTAAACTTTGGCCCTTCCAAAGTACAGTGAACAATATGCCAGGTTATAAAAAAACCTTCAAATTTTTCCACTTGATTTTAAACTTAATACAACTTATTGTATAGGGTTGTATAGTTTAAATCAATTGCAGAAAGGACATCGCCGAAAATGGCCCCAATACCATTAAATATTAATACTTCAATAATAATTACTAATTTATTTATTAAATTGGAATCAAATATTTATTTAACATGGACAAGCTGCGATCCAAAATTAATATTTAAAAGTACTTTAACAGTAACATTTTTATTCGCAAATATTCACATTCAATATACTTAAATTCTATTGAGTCAGATGGATGTAATTTACACGTCAGATCAAGAAGATAATTTATTTTTATTAGATAACCTTTAAATCATCGAACACAAAAACATTTAATTAAATTGACCGAAAATAAACTTAAATTTACCAAAAGCGCCATCTCTTGGTGATTTTCCAAAAAAAAACATAAGGACATAAAAACTGAATATTATACAAACTAAATTCATTAACTGTTGATAATTCACACACAGAAAGATTGATATTCATACGACATATCCTAAAAACTAGTTTTTTTCTATAACATATTAACATCATGTCATTTATGTATTTAAGGCGCCATCTTTTGATGTAAACTTTCAAAAAGCTATAGGTTTTTTAATTTTAAGCTTATCAATAGGTATATTATTTAACGAGAAGTAATTAAAAGGTCAGCCATAAAAAAATTTGGTTAGCCACAAAAATCAGTATTTTAATCGTTTGATCAGCATTTAAAGATTTTGTATGCAAGAAAAATAAAACAATCGGCAATCCTTGTTTCGCAAATAATCTTGATAATGATCAGTAATTTAATCATATACAGTCAGCTTAAATTAATATGTGTATGTCAAATAAACAGTCTATCCCCAAAATAACTACTTGATCAGAAAGATTCAGGATTGGTCAGCAAGAAATATTTGTATGGTTAGCAGTTCATTTGATCGGTTTGCGTATTTAAAGCATGGTTAGAAGAATAACTAATTGGTTTGCATTTTTATTGAAAAGTCTGCAATGTACGTTAAAAGTGGGCAGAGCAAGAGTAGTCGCATGATACTAGTAGCCAATCGCTGTCAAATTACAGTGATAACAACTTGTTTTATGTTAATTAGTGTGAATTTTGATATTTTGCGAGTGTTATATGAGTACTGTAGGTAGCAGCCGGGACCGACGGCTTAACGTGCCCTCCGAAGCACGGAATCATCTTACTTTCGGACAATCAGGTGATTCAGGCCTGCAATGTCCTAACCAAACTGGGAAAAACTCACAAAGAAATATTTGAGTGTCCCCACCGGGAATCGAACCCAGTACCTTCGGATCGAGAGCCTAACGCTCTAACCACTAGGACACGGAGGCAGTTAATTTAATTAGTTAGTTTACTCTAAATACCCATTCATTATTTTTGTAAGGAATGCGCCCATTTTGCGCCAGTCATTATTGCTATTTTTATATGCTTCACAAAATTAGATTAGTTGCTTCCCTCTAAGTGCTGTTCAAAATTGTATTTAATATGCGTCACTCATTGCAGCTTATATGATTATTATGCTAATAAAAAATAATTACAGCCGTCCAGAATGTAAAAAATTGTCGATTGATTTGATATTGTTAGCTAGCCATGGTCTGCTGATCAATCATATATTTCAACTGACAGAATATATTTTTCTGCTAGCAAAAATGTGAATACTATGCTAACCCGTTAAATAACACCCTTATTTAACTATTAGAATGATTTATTTGTCTATTGATTGACTTAGAAACTTTTACGAAAAACCAACTTTCTTAAAGTTGAGTTTTTTTGCTTCAACAATATAGACATCAATATCATATCATGTACTTAGAGTGCCATCTCTTGGTGGTTTTCCAAACAAATTATAACCTCAAAATGAATTATATTTTGCGTGATAATAAGTTCTAAAACTCGTTCGCGGTATAATAAATACATAATGAGAATTAGTTAGTGACACACAATAAAATAAGTATTTTCCTATATTTTTTTGGCTCTGGGGCCACCAATGTATGGACGTTGAGCAATGTCCTTTGATATATTGTGGAATCCTGACATGCAGCCGTATGTACATTTTATGATTTAACATCAAATAATGAGTTACTAAGTTTATCTTGAATCGCCAAAATTGAAAATTATATTGGGTGAAAAGTAATAGAAAGAATGCATTTTTTAATTAAAATTCAAACACTTTTTTATAAAAAAGTTTGGAGCCTGAAAACTTAAGAGAGTCACAATAAAAATAATGTTGATTCCTATTTTTTCTATGACAAAAAATAAGAAATTAAAAATAATATTTACCGCTTCATGTCTGTTATTTTTTTCAGTATCTGAAGTTTACTCAAAAATCTATCTTTTGGAAATGATTATATCCAAAACAGTGAGCCAATAATATTTTATACTTTTTTATAATGTACATTTTAGACTACCTATTTATCAAAATCGATGTGCCGTAGCCAAGTGGTTTAATCAGCTGTCCAAGTATATTTCGTTTTAACGTTTATTGTAGGTAAACATTGTCTTTAACTCTAAATAATTTAGATGAATTGTTTAAAAGTTATCACAATAAGATTGACATAATACGAGACGGCGGTGGCATAGCATGACGCGGTGTGCAATGTGGTGTTGGTAGGTGGGGCAGTCAACAAATTATACTGAATATTATATATTCTGGATTTTTTACAAATATAAAATATTCACTGATACATGAAACACCATCTTTTATGGTTTTTAAGAACAAATATTTTTCGCTTAGTGTTGAGACCCCATGCCTGTGGTTAGCACAGTAAGATAACAAATGCTTAGTCCCCATTGGTGCCCCCCCAACTGTAGATTAAGCACTAGTGTATACTGACCTAATAATTTCATAGGATTGTTTGCTTCTTCCTCTTTTTGTTCCTCCTCTTCTCGCTTTGCTTGTTCTTCAGCAAGCTTTAAAGCCATAAAATTCCTTGTTGCACCCGCTTCAATTTCATAATCTGTGTTTTTTGGATCTGTTTTGAATGATATTTCTTGCAAGCATCTAGTGCACTGAAATTTTATATCAAAAATTTTAAATGATATTTATTATTTAAGAATTAAAAAAAGTAGATCAATAGAATTCCTGTAATCTGTTTTAGTTGACAAGAATAAAAATACAGTATCCTACTAATAATATAAATGCTAAAGTTTATGAGGATGTACATGTGTATGAAGAATGTTATTTCTTCATACAAAAATTACTTAACGGTTTTGATGAAATTGTTTATATGGATAATTCTAAGCCTGAATTAACATATAGTTTTAATTATAATATAAGTTCAATTTGAATTCACAATGCTATACTGGAAAACATCCTTAATGAAAATACTTACAAAAAATCCTAATGAAAATACTTAAAAAATCCTAATGAAAATACTTAAAAAATCCTAATGAAAATACTTAAAAAATTCACTAGCCCCATTGTCTCTGAGATGGGACTCAAATCCACAATTTTTGCATAGCAGTCGCCTGGATTAGGAAAGGTTGTGGGTTTGAATCTTATCTCATGAGTAACTGAGGCTGTTGGATATTTAAACATTTTTCATTAATAATATACAGTTTTACATTTTATTCCATTAAACTACATATAAAAATTAAGTTATGTGGGTTGGTGCTAGTTTCACAGTCAATGATTTTTGTACCATCAGTTGCTACACAATAATGGGATGTTTTCCTTCAGCTAAAAGTCAACCCTAAGTAGATATGACAAGCATAAAAAAAACAAACAGCACAAAGAAACAAAGTTTGCTGTTATAATAAAATAAAAACTATATAATTACTATCGATTAGTAGTTTAAATATATCAGTATCATTTGTTAAATTCCTTTTCTAATTAATCCCAATTGTTTTATATATTCATACGACTTACTTTGATGTAAAATCTGTATATCCTAATACCGAGGTAATCTTCGTTTTCAACATCTTCTTTTCGAGCATTGAATTTCTTGCCTTTGTAAATGTATTCTCCACAAGTCGCACATCGCATATTAAAAGGGGCCATAAGTCGAACAGTGTATTGGCGATTCTTCGCCAATTTCATGCGAGGGATTTTCGAGGGATCAAAATCAGGTGGATAATATTTCTGAAAATATCATGACCAATTTAGATTTGTAAAATAATTGTAATTGAATGAAGCTATGTAATGTCCATTTTAGGTTATGTTTCAAATAATAATAATCCAATTAAATTTAGACGTAGTATACTAACATTTAGAACTTTCCTCTCAGACATCTTGGTATTTGGGTTGTATAGTTATTTACACAGTCTGAAATAGTTAAATTAGACTCAAAAACAAAATAAAACACTTGTATCAATGTTTTTTTTTTCTGTTCCTTTCACAGACTAGTAAGGAGATTCAGACAGAACAAGCTAAGGGCTAAGGGCTAAGGTCATAGACCATGCTAGCTCGCTTCATGTTTCTTACTAGTCTGTGCACAGAACAATAATACTCTACGAGAGTCTGTCTGTGTTTCTTTGTAGTTATAATAATAATACGCTATAGCTAGTACAAACCAAACAGTGCTGCCAGATGCATTGAGTTAAGTGGATATGTACGGTCGGCCAAGAAAGTGGTCTACCAGTTTTGACAACATTTCCCGTGTCTTTAAAGCATCGCTAAAGGCGAATCTTAGAATTGGTTACAAACAATAAAAGAGATGCACAATGCTGACGTGTTGTCGTAGAGCACAAAGTTATTTTGACCTTTGCAGCCTATACATTAGATAATAATTTGCAACAACAAATAGTCTTCACAATATTTCATAAATTCAAAATTTAAGTAGGTCACTTCAAAGTGGAAACTATTTTGTTACGAAAACTCTTTTACTGAAAAAGAATATATCACTTGACAATTCATGTCAAATATTTTCTCGGCATTTTCCGTAGGTATTTTCTGATACCCGATGGTAAAACGGGTATAGAGAAAGACCAGGGAGCTTTTAGATTACATGAGTTTATTTACCACTAAAAATATGTACTTTATAAAAACATAAACAGCACCGACAACAGCTTTACGAAAAGAGACATTAATATATATAAACAATAGACGCGCATGTGCAGAACAGATTGTCAATATTTAAATTAAAATTAAAAAGATCTTAAACCAAGAAGGAGGTCTCCCTCAACATTTTCCTAATTAATTTACACTACAATGTAAATAATCGCATTACACAATGATGGTTTGAATATTAGTGAGATTTCTAGAGAATTAAATGTGTCGGTAAGTATTATTATGTCTGACGTGAGTTTAATGTAAAATCTCAGACCAAGTCCGAGTGTAAATTTTTATTTTTATTTTTTCTGTTCATATTTTATTTTTGATTATAGAGACAAGCTGTCCGTCTTTGGATAAGACGAGAAAGCGAGGAGGGGAATTTGAACGCTCGGATTCGTAGCGGTCGTAGACCTGAAATATCAGATACTCAGCGAGTCTTCATGAGACGGAGTTATGAGGAATCTGGCTTTATACCGACGCGTTATTTTGCCGACATATTTGACGTGACTCTCCAAACCATGAGAAACCATTTACATTACATGGGCTTACATCACAGGCGTTATGCAAAGAAAATTTATATGACTGACGCTCATAGAATGGCCAGATTAAATTTCGCCATAGAATATTTGGATTTTTATTGGAGTAACATTGTTTTCTGTGACGAGAAAACTTTTAAATCCAGTCAACACGGGCGTCTACACCTTTGGCGATTCAATAAAAGGCGATACACGCAAAATCATGTCGTGCCAAATAGAGAATCGGGTCGTATCTCGGTAAATTTGTAAAATTTGGATGGATGACTGCTGATGGTGTTGGAGACTTGACCTTTTTGCCACCACGAGCAACGGCATCAGATTATGTTGATGTTCTCCAAAATGCTATGTTGCCATCCGTCCGGAACGTTTATCCAGAAAATGAAATGCGTCAATTTAATTATTTACAGGATAACTGTCCCTTACATAAAGCAAGGGTAATACGTGCTTGGTTTGATGCACATCCGGAAATAAAATTGATACCATGGCCTGCAAAATCGCCAGATCTCAACCCTATTGAAAATATGTGGGGTCTTATGGTTCAGAGATGGTGTAACCGTAATGAACGAACAGCAGAAGCACTACAAGGGCACTGCAATGAGGTTTGGGAGGAAACACGTGGGTCTGATACCTGCTCAAGACTGGTGGGCTCGATGAGGGAACGTCTCCAAGCTGTTATAGAGGCAGATGGCGGCTACACAAGATTTTAAGAATTATAATTTTATAAAAGAATTGTATATATTTTTTAACAACCAAATAATTAGCATTTTCACTATCTCTTCTAGTTTTAGTCCTTGTCTCGCCCTAAGCTATGGGTCGGCGCAATATGTTTTTCGTCGTTATTCATTTCTGTTATCCGTTATCTCAGTATATTCAGACCTATAACACGCATAGCTTCTTACGCATAGCATTTCACTACCTACTGATTTTTTTTATTTGTATTAAAATATAATTAATCTACATTCTAATGTAGGATATTTGTGGACTATAAGACTTTATTTACGATATTCTAACTCTAAAGTATTTAAACATACAAACAGACAGACAGAAAAAAAAATATTTTTGGCTTCTATTAGTCTTATGAAGGCCGTCCATATATTTTTTTTCCAAAATATCTTACAAATGTAACCTTGTTACATTTTTATTATAGGTATAGATAATTACTGTCAAAGGTTACGTTAAAATGATGAAGATAGCAATAATGACGTGTACTTGACGTGTCAAAAAATTAATGCTACGGAAAATCAACCTTGTTGTTAGTTGACGTAACACGCGAAATTCAACCTTAGGGTGGTAGACCACTTTCTTGGCCGACTGTCCATCATTAAAACTTATATTTTAGTAATGACATGATTTATGTAAATGTAATTACTTATGATAAAGAGCTTCTTTCGCTTGTTCTTCTTGTCAGCTGAAAGACGTCCTGAACACTTGTTCAGGACCTTTTGTGGAACCTTTTTTCCCCTATCACTTGATAGGGGAAAAAAGGTTTTAGACGATTCAAAAGTGCTTGTAAGGAATGGAAATGACTATCATTGTCTATTCGTTTCCTGCAAAATCAACTTTTTTTGAGATTTCTGTTTTTATACTTTCTCATTTTGATTAGCTCTGACGAGTAAGTCATGAGTAACTCATGATTCCATTTCTTGTATAAAAAGTCATTTCGAAACTTACTTTACTTATGCCGCTTTTTTAAAAGTGAATCCAAATATTTGAGCCATAGCAGCCCGTCTAATCTATGAGAGAAATGAACTCAACAATACGTCGCGAGTACATCTTCATGTTTTTTTAAACTAATCACTTTTATCAAAATTTCCGCTATTATGTATATAATGAGGAAAGACATTGAAAGTATTGTATATTCTTTAATATCAACCGTTTTGGGCTCAGATATTCAGTAGATACTATACACTGATTAAATACTTTCCATGTTCCATTAGGCTCTTTAATTCAGATGTACAGATTGAGGAGCCGCTTTTACATTGACACAACTCGGGATATATTTTACTACAATTTTCAAAATTTAGCCCACAAAATTATTTAATTCCCTACTGAATAAAGGAATAAATTTCTTTTTAAAATCTGAAGTGGCTCCTCAATCGATACGGACATAAAAAATCTAAAACATATATGTGTGCCTAGGTAATTTATTAAATATTATTTAAGAGCAAGGTCGGGGGAGACGTGCGGGCAGGCAGACAACAAACGTGTTGTGACTCAGTAATTATCCAATAACATAGATAATTACAAATAGTCGGCCATGTGATTTGATATATAAATACCAAGATCTATTTGTTTTACACATTGCCAGTGAAACAGCAGGCATTCTATACAATAGGGTATTTGATACTATCGAAAATAAGTTGCATTTTGTGGTCATCCTGATACATAATAATCTAATAAAGCTTATTTCTTAATATCTGCAGAAAAAACATGTTTAGATTTAGTAAAATAATGTAAAGAAAATGCAATATTTTTAGGAATTTATTCAACGACGAAAACGTCCTATAATTGTTCGTCGTCACAACCAATCACGATTCTGTTTACTGGCCTGTGACGTCATCAGCTGTCATGTCAAAGTAGTGTAAGGAGATACATAAAATATCGATGTCTGTAGGTATCGAGTACTTTATAGTAATTTACTGAAAACAGAATACTTTGCCGCTTCTACTGATAAGAACTGCCAAAAAGCAATGCAGAAAAAAAAAATCATTTACGAAGCTTTTTAAAAAATTCAAGAAATAGCGAAAACGCCAGCCATTTAAATAAAGAGCAACTTACATGTTTTTCTCATTTCTTGAACTTTACTATAATAATTCAAAATTACAAAATCGACTTTAATGATATATAGTGTTCTCCAAGTTAAAAATTAATTTAAAAATCATCGGTATCTGATACCTAATTATCAAATGCCATGCATTTAGTGAGCAGTCATACTACATGCATGTATAACAAAAATAGAACATTCTTTTTCGTACTAATGTCTCATCCATCTGTAGGTTGACAGGCTGTAAAGTGCGAGCCCTGTCAACAAATATAAATGAGTCGTAAAATGTTAATGACAGAGAAAAAACCAAAAAGAAAACCTTCAACTGTATCGATATGAAAAAAACCTAATCTCTCCTTACCTAATTTTATCACCCATCGCTACTCTATATAGCTACTATACTATTGTGATTGTGAATCTATTTTCTTCTAGACTCAAAGTTTGTTTGTTATTTATAGTAGTATTAGTACATTGTGGCACTACGCACCACTTGTAGCACACTTTTTAAAGAAAACCAGAGCAGAGGAAAATAAAAAACGTAAAAAATGCGCACTACGACTTCAATTTCTCTTTTAAATTACTATTTCAATTTACTCTAGGGATGATCGATATTCATCGATGTTGAATAAATATCGATGTTTTGTCATCGATGTTTTAAATTGGATAACATTGGCACATCGATGTTTGGCTCGAAAACATCGATGTGCCGATGCCTGTTTCGAACATAAACATCGAAAACATCGATGTTTATGAATAAAATGTCAAGATACCCTTTGGGCCATCTAACGTGCTCCAGATGATCTCGTATATCAAGTTCAACTATTTTATACTAGATGTCACCGGTTGCACTCGTAACTGGAGTACGCAAACAAATAGTTTTTTCTTTGCTTGCATTTTCCCAGGAAATTAGAAATAAATCTGTCAACTTCAGCGCTCGTTGGTATCTTATAAGTTACTTTATTCACCGGTCTTAGATCCGTACATTAGATAGTTCCACGTGCGAGTGCGGAATCGAAAAAGGTACCACTGATCCCATCCTCTTCAACTGTCTGA